AGTGGAAAGGAGAAGGCAGAGATGTTGATGGAAGATTTGGAGAGAAATGTGACGTTGTGCCTCCACAACAGCTTCTGCAGGAACAGAGAATCTAACGTGGATCCCCTACCTTGTTGCAAACATAGGGTAGAAGAGCAGAAGTGTTGGAGGACTGCTTCCAACAGCAACAGGATAGCTAACGACGTGTTGCAGGACACAGAAACTGAAAGTGCAGAGTCAGTATCACAGGAGGAAGAGATGGAACATTGACGAATGGCCGAAAAACGAGATGCAAAAAGAGACGAAATTAGAAGAATTTAGAAGTTTTAGATCTTCTAAACAACGAAAAAAGAAGAAAACAAAGGAGTGATGAAGAAAAAGTTAAAACTCAGAATTGTTTTATGTGTGTGAAAAAACTCAAGTGAGGAACTAAGCAACCAAGTTGTAATTGAAAACTGAAACACTTAGTTGACTTTTGAAATTGTTGCATTTATAAATTAGCATTTTGATTTTAGTTAAGTGACTTTAGAGACACTTACTTACTATTTATTTAGAAAGGCTTGAGTGAAAGAGTATATTTAAATATCCAGACTGCATGACTGTTTTTAATCAGCTAGGAGAACTGATCACTTTGTGGTGATATGAAAGGCTTGGGTAATTTCTCGAAGAGGGAGATTGTTTCATTGTTCTTTCTAACCACAGAGTTTCTTAGTTTTAATATTCAGGACAATAACAAGCGAGATTTCCGAAGGGAAGAAGCATAGTAGGATAATTTTAGCTTGTTGGTTGGTAGGAATCTCCTGCAAACCAACACCTTTTAAATCTAGGAGAAAACGTTTTTAATCAGGATACTGACATTGGGAGTCAGAAAAGATGTTTTTATCTTGGATCATATCCTCAATGTGCAGATTAATGAAAAAATTTGAAGGCTATAGTGATGTAATATGATGCCATTTATATTCTGCAGTGAGTCGATATGACGTGGATAAAAGTAATTTCGTGCATTTTGTAAATTCTGTTCGATGACACTGTACCTATTTTACGAGCATTGCGAGATTCAATGAGGACATTGACCGGACTGTCCGGGGAGTATGTGACAGTCGACCAGAATGGAACAAAATGCAGATTCAGCATATTCGAGTTTTTTAGCAGCGAACTTTCCGAATTGACGGTTTTAAGCGATTAACAACGTTATTGGGACGATTAGTCAAACGGTGAAGGTCAAGATATTCTGGTATTTTGAAATTTTAAAAATTCGAAGTATGACGTCCTATTTCTGAGAAACGTCAGAAACGGCCATTTTGGCAGAAAACCGGAAGAAAAACACAACAACATTAGTTGCGATAGCATGAACAACGAGAATTGTGCTTGAAAAACAACGACGAATTACAGAAGTAGCAGAGACCGCTCCGAGTTGCAACTATTGTGTCGCTACAATAGTTGCAAGGCCGTTGCGAACAACGGTGAATGGTGGAAAACCAGCCTTCCGGAAGGAGAACAAGAGCCTTATTTCCCCGGATTCAGGAATCCGGAGGGGTCTCGGGATTGAAACTTTTATTAACTTATAAAAACTTTTTAGCTTCCCTGTCATGTCCCGAGTTGAATTTAATTAACATCTGGATTCATTTTCTAATAATGAGAAGCTAGGAGTTGAGGGAAAGGATTGATCCATCTTCGATGGAGATGATGATTTTTATCTACTGAACAAAAACACTAGTAATATAATAACTAGTACTAGCCCTGTTTTAGGAGTGACCTCGAGGTCTGGGGATACTGAGACCCAGCCATGAGCTCACTAATTTTGCATTTAAATAAGTTAATTTGAGCGTTCTGGTCGAAGCCGGAGAACAGTAACGTTTTTGTCGACCCGATGTTGAAAAGCCCACCAAAAGAACTGGCTTTGGTGGAGACGGTGAAAAGCATGTAGAGCTTTGTTTAGACGCTGGCCAGTCGTTTTATAGCTTAGCTTTATTTTCCGTCGATATGTACATCCGGGCGAATGTTAAAAGGCTCCGTTTTTTTATATTGTTCTCGTCCGACTATCGCTCACTAATTCGGTCGTTGTTGAGTTTTTCTTCACTTTTCAGTCGATAATGGCCATTTCCTGCATTTCTCAGAAATAGATTGTCTGCAATCGATTTTTCGAAAATTAAAAAATTCCAGAATTTTCCTTCTCCTTTTCAACTATACACTATCACTAAGGCCTCTAATGTCTTTTTTGTGCTGGATTCATTTTGCTAGGATGAGAAGCTAGGAGTTGGGGGAAAGGGTTGATCCATCTTCGATTGAGATGATGATTTTTATCTACTGAACAAAAACAATAATGATTCAATAAGTAGTAGTAGCCCTGATTTTAGGAGTGACCTCGTGGTCTGGGGATACTGAGACCCCAGCCATGAGCTCACTATTTCTGCATGTAATCTAGTTAATTTGAGTGTTTTGACCGAAGCCGAAAGCAGTAACGTTTTTGTCGACACGATGTTAGAAAGACCACTGAAAGTACTGGCTCGGTAGAGACGGTGAAAAGCATGTAAAGCTCTGTTTAGACGTTGGCCAGTCGTCTTAGGACTTGGTTTTATTTTCCGTCGATATGTATCTTCAGGGCGAATGTTGCATATTCCAGCCTGCATGATTGTTTTTAATCAACTAGGACGACTAATCACTTTGTGGTGACATGAAGGACATGGGTAATCTCTTGAAGAGGGAGATTATTTCATTGTTCCTTCTAACCACAGAGTTCCTTAATTTTAATATTCAGGACCAATAACAACTAAAATTTCCGAAGAAAAGAAGCATAGTAGGGTAATTTTAGCTTCTTGGTTGTCAGGACTGTCCTGCAAACTACTACTTTTTAATACCTAGGAGAAAAAGTTTTAATCAGGGCCTTGACATTGGAAGTCAGAAAAAATGTTTTATCTTAGATCATATCCTCGAAAGTGCAGATTAGTGAAAAAAATTGGAAGGCTATAATGATGTAGTATGGTGCCATTTATATTCTGCAGTGAGTCCATATGACGTGGATAAAAGTGATTTAGTGCATTTTGTAAATTCTGTTCGATGGCACTGTACCACTTTTACGAAGACTACGAGATTCAATGGGGACATTGACCGGACTGTCCGGAGAGTATGTGACATTCGACCAGAATTGACAAAAAGACAGTTTCGGATGGTTAGCCGCTAACCCAGAGAATTGGCAGTTTTAGAGGATTAGTGACGTTATTTGGTCGTTTAGACGAACTGTGACGGCCAGGATATTCTGGTATTTTAAATTTTTAAAATTTCGAATGATGACGTTATATTTCCGAGAAGCGATGAAACGGCCAATTTTGGAAGAAAATCAAAAAAGAAACACAACCACAAAAAAAAGTTGCGACAACAACAACGATAGTTGCGAGAGAAACTACGACAGAAAGTAGATAATACAAGAGTGTTAGCAAAGACCGCTCCGAGTTGTAACTATTGTGTCGCTACAATCGTTACAAGGCCATTCACGCCAACGGTGAAGGGTGGTGGAATCGTGAATTCAGCCTTCCGGAGAGGAAATAAGGGTGTTTTTTCCCCGGATTCAGGAATCCGGAGGGGTCTTGAGAGTTGAACTTAAAACAAATTTAAACGAAATTTTAGCTTCCTGGTTATGCCCTGAATTGAATTCGATTAACATCTGGATTCATTTTCTAATAATGAGAAGCTAGGAGTTGAGGGAAAGGGTTGATCCATCTTCGATGGAGTTGATGATTTTTATCTACAGAACACAAACATTAGTAATATAATAACTAGTAGTAGCCCTGTTTTTAGGAGTGAACTCGTGGTCTGGGGATACTGAGACCCAGCCATGAGCTCACTAATTTTGCATTTAAGTAAGTTAATGTGAGCGTTCTGGTCGAAGCCGGAGAACAGTAACGTTTTTGTCGACCCGATGTTGAAAAGACCACCAAAAGAACTGGCCTTGGTAGAGAAGGTGAAAAGCATGTAGAGCTTTGTTTAGACGCTGGCCAGTCGTTTTATAGCTTGGCTTTGTTTTCCGTCGTTATGTACTTCCGGGTGAGAATTACAAGGCTCCGTTTTTTTATATCGTTCTCGTCCGTTATCGCTCACTAATTCGGTTGTTGTTGAGTTTTTCGTCACTTTTCGGTCGATAATGGCCATTTCCTGCATTTCTCAGAAATAGACTGCAATCGAATTTTCGAAAATTAAAAAATTCCAGAATATTCTATCTTCCTTTTCAACCATACACGATCACTAAGGCCTCTAATGTCTTTTTCGTGCTGGGACGGAAGGTTCCGCTGTGCCAATCCGGGGGAATGGCACAAACAATGTTTCTTGACTGGAAAGAAGTTTGCTATTCCTGGTGAATTAAACACCAATTACCAGCCTACGAAAAAATTCAATATGAAAACAATCACAAACAACTCAGGAAAAGAAAATTTTTTTTTTTTTGTGGATAGATATAATGGGCAATACAAAATTGATAAAATGTCAGTAAGAATGTGGAACAGGTTACATGATGACCAAATCTATTTTAAAATATCCCTACAGAAAAGCAAAAACATTATTTAAGAATTAATAATTATTCGTTTGAAAGAAGATCCAATGGTGGCGTTCTATGGAAAATTTTCATGGAAAGATTTCAATTTTCTTAGTGTAATTCCGTAAGATGTTTAATTCTATCAATTAAGATGCTAAAGGTTAGTATTTTAAAATTTTGATGTAGTTTACAATGAATAAAATCATACTCTGTCTCACACTTGTACATTGAAAATAAAATAGCAAATAAAGTGTTTCTTATGTAACTTCATATTACTTTTAATTATAAAATGAGAGAAGAGCTAAGAATTTCAGAAAAAAAATAGCCCCTAGATTATCTCCATTCTTAATTCATTTTTATTTTTCCTATGTAAAGAAAGGTTTTATCTTCAGTATGAGCTGAGAACTTGTGTTCAAATTAGTTGCAAGTAATTTTTGCTCTCGTTTTTGTAAAATCTAATGCTGCTGCAATCAAGTTTTGTCGATATACCGATTTCAGTTGGAAAATGACATAACTTATCTGATGGATATTAGTTCATTAGTTGATAGCTCCAGGTCAAATAGCTGTACTAATATCAGCAAACTGGAAACTGACCTAGAAGTAGCTGCCCTAAGCATGAGAACCAGGAGGAAATATTCTGCAGAGTTTTTATATCATATTAAAGATAAACCTTCGTCTAAAGATCCTCCAGCTTGTCTTGACGCGCAGTTTTTTGACGACGGTGGCTTTTGGGATCCTCAAAAGTGGGTAGCATCTTTTGAACCGCCTTACAGAGTAAACAGCTGCCAGGAGGCTGCTTCCGGTATTGAAACGTTCAAGAATACGATAAGTACCGAAGATTCGCGTATTACAAAGCTGCAAAACGAAGACTCCTTGGACATAGTCTTGTCACCGCAAAGAAGAAGTTTTGGAGGAGGATGCAAGGTAAACACTATATGAAATGGACATTTATACGCTTGCGATAAGCAAGCGATATCAAACTGGAAAATAGACTTCTTTGGGTTAACATCTTGTTTACCGAAATCACTTGAATCATAAGACTTCATTCACGTGCAAATTTAATTTCTAGCGGTCTACTGTTACTACCGACAGCCTACAGTTCATTTAAGAAGTATTGTCTTAAGTATTTGAAGACAAAATGTATCGTTTCAAAAAAAATTTCGGACTATCGTTAGTCTGATTGTTTTGTCGGCTTACATATAATATATAATATTTCCAGAAAAACATATGATAGCTTGGCTTACATCAAAATCAATTTTTTTAAAGCTTTTTAGGCACTCATGATATTTGAGAAAAATACTACGCGTGAGGTCGTAAAGTTCCTGTGTTCGAACCAGGCCAGAAGTTTCTTTATTCAAAAGGGAAATATTCTGTTTCGAAAAATTGCCGACCTGTTGTGTGTCTGCTTATGTTTGGTCCGCTTAGTTGCCTTGTTACGGATTTTTGCTGGGGTGTATGTAATTTTAATTGTAACTGAAAGAGTTTTGATTTGTTACTGTAATTTGTAAACGTACTTTTTTTTTTTGCTGGTTTGTTTGGCGTCGATTGTTTTTGCTTTTTTTAATCGATTAAGTGAACTACTTAAGCTTTGTTTTAAAGGAAAACTAGATTTGTACGCTTTTGTGTGTTTCCGGAAGGGGGCGTAAAAATTTATGTTAACGGAATTTTCAAAAGTTTTTGATTGACGGGAATCTAACCAACTTTTGCCGGCTTAGTTGCCGATCAATTTTTGTGTCTGAATACTTATTAAACGCCAGTTATTGTGTTTTTAAATTGCGCATCATTCCAGACAAATTACTGAAATTTTTGTAGTTATGGTTTCGAACTGTTCTTATTGTTTTTCGACTTAAGGGCTTTTGTTTAGTTTTCTGTCTGCTAGTTTGCAATGTCATGTGTGTGGTATCGCAAGTGGTGCGAAGCTCCGCTTTGCCTCTGTGTGTAAGTGATGTAGTGTTTTTTGTTCCAAAGAGCAACGCCTCCAAGTGCAGGTTAGGATTATTCAAATAATAAATTGGCTGTTATGCATCATAGTTCTGCAGTCTAGTCCCAAAGAGAAAAACAGTCAATGTTCAAAACGTTTTCGAATTAACAAATTCATCATCAGTGTCTCAAAAAATATCTAACCTATAACACGCACAATCCTAGAATTGTACACAAATCATCATAAATGAACAGATAAAGCACCGTAAACATGTAGAAGAAACAAGGATTTCAAGCCATACAACGATGGTACACTGAAACAGTGTTAGATTTTGATGGTGAGCCTGTACAACACTGATTTACGTTTCTACAGGGTGTGAAGGAGCTATGGGGACGTTTTTTTTGCCAGACCTCAATTTTTTTGCCAGACAGAAATTTCCGGTACCATATTAACTTTTGGTACCATATTTTGGTACCAAATTAAAGCCTCATAGAGCGCGATTCGGATTTAGCTGTATTACAAGTTCGAGCCATTACTTTCAAATCTGTTTTTCGAAATTTTTTTGGCAATCAAAGGCCGCAATTTTTAGGGTTCGGTACTGTGAATATTTTTAATCTTACGAAATGCAAGGGTATTGCAATCTGATTTTTTTTGTGAATATATTTGTTCACAGGACTCATCTGGACTTTTTTTGGCACCTTGGCCCATAATGAATTCAAATTTTTTAGTTTTTCTTAGTTGTATATAAGTTGTATAAATTCCGTCGTCTTTCGGCTTAAGTGGTGGTTTCGATTTTTCAACTTAGCGGCCTCCTTTTGCGTCTTTTGAGGATCGAATAAATTTGTGTTGGCTTGTGTGTGTTCTGAGGGGAAAGGGGAGTTAACAATTTTAAAATTTGAATTTTTTTTCGTTTTGAAGGGTTTGTGCTCAGATATTTTTGGCTTAGTTACCTCTTGGTAATTATAAATTCAAACCGAATCAAGCATCCCGATCATCTGGCGTAGAAGTAACACAACTGCTTGAGACTGAAATGCTTGTTCGAAACCCGTTAGGACCTGTTTTTTTTTCACTAGAATCTTTGTGCTTTTTCTGACTATCGTCCGTTTGTATATTTTTATCGGCTTTATTCCCGTAGTCGGCTTTTTTTGAGGGTTCAGGTTCATTCCAGTTTGCCGTATAACCCATGCTTGAGACCGTCAAGCCCTGGAGTTTGATTCCAGTCGAGACCTGTTTTTTTTTGGAAACTGAAAATTTTCGGCTAAATTAGAATGTTGTCTGTCAGCTTAATTCCAGACATTAAGTAAAATTTTGTCTTCTTTCTATCATAGAAAGCTTCCTAAAAAGTGTTCAATGATATATGTAATTTTTTAATGGTAGTTTTGGCTTTTGTTGTAATTCTTAATGACAAAAACGATTTTTAGGAAATTTTTTTTTCAATTTATTTTTTCTCCGTTTGATTTTATTCGTAGTTATTCATTTTTGTAGCGCAGGTGGCGCGAATCTCAGCTTCTCTTTTGTGTTCAGATTACTTATGTAGGCAGCTAATCTGAAAATTTGAACTAATATATAGTACACTTTACTGTATTGATGCAAAGACTTCTACACAGTAATTGAAGTGTTGTTTTTCAATTATTCGAAAGTATTTTTCGAATCACTACCTTTTTGTTTTTTTTTCTGTAGTCTTGGTTTTTCTTGGTTAAAAAACAATGATTGATCATGATAATGTAATTTTACACCTCGTAATAGAAAGTTGAGGTGTTTTGAAATTTTGAGTTCAGATAATTTCCTTCAAAGTTTGGCTGACGGCGTTGAACCTTGATTAGGGGTTATTGAAAGTTATAAATTTCAGAACTTTATGTTTGCTTCTGCGCTTTCCAGTTAAAAACATATCTTTTTCATTGTGTAAAATTTGAGCTCGAATATAATATCTGTGCGTGCATTTCATCGATAACGTTATCAAGTTTCGTAAAATTAGAATATCTTCAAAATTATCTATAGCTGGTTTCTTTCAAATTGATGGGATTTTTGAAGCAAACAAAGCACGTCTTACATAATACAATATTTATTCATTTGTAGACTCAAATAAAAACGCTTTTTTTTCCATATCATGTTCATTTCATTTGTTAGTAACTAAGTCATCATTTATTCAATTTTTTTTGATACCGTCAGTTTGCAGCTATCGCGAAGCATTCATTCTGATCTGCCTCGTAACTTAAGGAAACTAAGCACACTGGCTTTGCCTACTACAGAAAGTCAAACTCCAACAGCTACAGAGAAACTCAAACGAGCTCACAGAAGCTCTATGCGAGTTCTCAATCGGCAGGTTTCTGAAATCAGCTGCCTTTGTGTTAGCTTCAATCGCAACCAAGACGAGTTGAGCGATGAAACAACCGAGCGTGAGCTTTACTTGGCTCAATCTTCCTTTGCTAATCACGAGCTTATTCACGCTATCCTTGATTATGCAGAATACTAACAAGTGTTTGATCAATGTCAGGACCGTGCCGCAAATAGAGTGGTAGAGCCTTCAAATTAGACCATCAATCCTTTTGCGTCTACGTAGATCGAACCTATAAGGATTACATCAAGATTTCCGCAGAACAAACTGCCTAGCTAAGTGTATTTCACTGCCTGGCTGAGCTTCATTGATCGAATTCGATCAATTGTCCATGACAATGAAAACCTGTCACCGATTCGGAAATTGATCTATGTAAAGAATTGTTGGACGACCCTTATTTAAAAACTCACCATGAGCTTGGAACCGACAAAAAGCAACTACGAAGTTACTCTTCACATGCTAGAGCAGAGATACAAAATTGATCGAATCATAGTTCGCAAACTCTTGTCAAGAATTCGTGGTTTACTGCAAATCGAACGGAGAACGTATCTATGCTCCGTCAGCTACACTCAGTCCTTCATTGAGACTTCGCAATCGATCGAGGCGATCGGATGATCAGTAGAAAACGCTTTGTGCCGTTTTCTTGTCCAAAGTCTCGATCCTCTATCTCAGAAGCCATAGTAAATTTCGAGGCTGTTCAAAGATCTAATTCCCAACCTCACAGACAAGAATGGCTTTTCATTACCAAATGTTAATTTCAAACATACCAAGACAGACGTCCATTTTTGCAAGGTGAGAAAAACAGATCGAAGACATCAAAATCAAAGAATTTTGTGATCAACACTAGGATGTGCTTCAGTTGTTTGTCAGCCGGTCACGTCTTCCAGCAATGTCCTTAAACATCAATCACATGGTCAAAATAAGCATCATACAATTTTACGTCAACGTTCGATCTCAGAACGGTCTACTTCTTTTATTGAGGGCGCTAATTGAAAATTGTGCTCAGACGATCGTCATCACCCAACTGGCCATGCACCAGCTTCGTATCAAATCAACAGAAGCTCCAGATCTACAGAACCAGAAGAACGCTATGTCTCCCCACGGCCGAATGGATCTCATAATTCTACTTAAGTCTGGTAACAATTTCCAACGTTTTTTGTGTGGTGTTGGAAAGCATCACTGATTACGAGCATCCAATTGCACAAATTGCAGCAACAGATCTACGAAAGGTCAGCAAGTACAACTGACATCGACCACAAAGTCACATCACGAAAACACTAGCCACGTATATAAACAACTTCCTTGGTAGCTATTTCGCCACATCTGTCAGATTCTACGAAGTTAAAAATATTACTTCAACTCCATAAACCCAACACTCATGCAACTAGATTGAGTCTATGCGGCATTTGGATCAGACTAGGACCATTGGCTTGGATGAATGAGCTATGGTGAGATTTCATATCAAAAAATCGCAGGGGATCGACAAAATCACCCATGACTGGCAGCCCAATACTGATGATTCAACGCTCAAAGATTTGCGGTAGTTCCCAGAAGAAAGAAGTTCCGACAGAATCGTGAAGCCACGAACCAATAAAACTATTTCTTCCAAGAGATGAATGGCACTTGCCACATCGAGAAGGTACCTGTGTTTGATCATTTTCGGTCAGACGGGAAGTACACTATGCCTCATCATGCAGTTTGGAAGTCGGATTCATCAATAACTAAGTGCAGACCTGTTTTCAACGGATCAGCTCCGTTTTCAAATAAAGTCATTGAACGATTAGTCATTGAACGATTGTCCGCTTGTTGGTCCCAAGCAGCAGTCAGACCTTCCTTGTCCGGTTCCGCTTTTACAAAATTGCGCTACTTGGCGACGATACCAAGATGTACAGGTAGTTCAATCCACATACAGAAATATGCATCGGCTCTACTGGAGAATAGAAGAGGATTCATTTGAGAAGTACCGTATGACTCGTGCGATCTACGGCATAGCTTCTAGTAGCTATCAAGCCATTTGACTCTTGTCAGACATCGGTGGTGCAGATACTGATGAAGAAGCCATCAGAATGCGCCAGAGTCTCACGACCACTCTGGAAAAAGTACGCTTTTATATTAGGAAGTGGGCAAGCTACAGCAAGGTTGTCACGAACGATATAACCGACAAACTCGAACCTACGTAAATCGAACCTACAAGGTTTACATCCACAGATCAAACTGCTTAGCTAAGTCTATTTCACTGCCTGGCTAAGCTTCATTGATCAATTCTACTCCCGAAAACCTGCATGACTTATTCTTAGCAGAAAATGACCAAAGCGTTAAGTTTTTTGGACTGAAAACTTCAGTGTACTGGAATCCAATTTATCCATAAACCGGTACTGGAAACACTCAAAAACTCGATCTTTTTTATGGTTTCCAGTACTGGTGTATAGATAATTTGGGTTCAGTGAAGTCCATAGGCTTGCCAAACGGCAGCGCAAACCTTATCAAGCCACCCAGAGTTTTGAGTGTTGATTTTGCAGAAGTTCTAGTTGCTTCCGAAAAAGTCAAAAATGTGGGCAAGTTCAGCCCTCCAGATGACAAGAAAGCAGGAATTTCAGGAAACCAGGACCTGTTGCATTCCGATCACTATAATTGTTTGATGAATCGTCTAGATTTTTGCAAAGAATCAAACAGTTAAAGAAAAAAATCAAAATGTCACAAATAAAAATCTGGTCAACTCGGGGCACTTGAAGAAAAATGCCGAAAAAGCAAATAACGACCAAGTAATTTTTAACAATCGCGTTTTACGCGATTGCCCAAACAGGACTACGCATGAAATATAGTCAAAATTTAAGTTAGAGGTCGATTTAACCCAAAAGGTGACAAAATTTGAGCAAATTTTTTTCTGAACGACAATCAAAAATCAAGAACAAACCGACTACCAGAAAGCTTCACTGGTTTGATGTTTTGGCTGGATTTATCCAAACTTCTCCTGCTTTTAGTTAAATTAAGCCGATTTCACCGGAGCGATGACGTGGCCAACTTTGACGGAAATTTTCAATGTGAATAATTCGAAAAGTAACACCTCAAGGCCAGAACGTGTTTCGATCATGCCTGAGGGTATTTCCGGATTTTTATTATGCTCTCTCACATACAGGACTCCACCCATCATCCTGCGGCCAGCTAAATTGCGCTAAAAAGAGAAGAAAAACATTTAGATGTTCATCAAAAATGATTGACAGCAACTCATTAGTGTTTCCCGTTAATATTCGATCACCTACGATCGTTCGAGAGATTATTGCAAGCAATTTAACCCATATTTTTGATCCCCTTGGACGAGTGACATCTGTATCGATAATGCCCAAGATTCTATAACTAATTATATGGGATGGAGTTTTGGAATGAAATCAGGATGTTGGGGCACATATAGCGAGCCAATTCCAGCTCTGGGTGGATAGCTCAAGTCTTCTGTCTTCCATGGTTGTACATCAGTACTTGACCCAAGACAGCTTTTAGTCGCTTTCATCTGCGATTCACCATAATCACCGTAGTCAACTTCATTGTGGACTGAAGGCCACCGTTACGCACACTCCACAGAAGTTCTGGATAATACGAGTCAAGTCGATGGCTTAAGCAATGATAGGAAACTGCATCACTTGCTTCACGTTTCATAGCAGAGAAATGAAGAACCTATCGGATATTGCCCTATTGAGAGAGTCAATTCATCGCCAGTATTCTCTTTCGTTGGTATCGACTTAGCCGGACCAATGTGCTACAAAGAAGATGATCATCTACTCTCAAGTGTTACAGTAGTTGTTCATTTGCTTTTCAAGTAAATCAACCAAAATTGATATTCATCGTATCACTAAACGAGCTAATTCAAGCGAAGAGACTTACGAGACAAACACAGGATAGACAGCCTCCCTGATTATGTTCGAGACATAAGTATCAATTGAACTACTATATCTGGAAGGGCTGCAAATTTCGGAGGGATGCTGCTTTTAATTCTTTGAAATTGTAATACCATATGACAATAGGCAATAGAAGAAACCATAAGATAGATAAGATGTACACAGTGCTTTTAGTGGATTGAAGCTATGCTCAACTCGAGGCCGCTCACGACGCGGCTCATATGCACATGCGGAAAACGATAAATTTGTGAGGTTAATGCTAATTAAAACAGGGAATGGGAAGCTTGGTACGCGACCGATTTTAAGATGCGGAAATTGCCCATAAAAGTAATGAGAGATAAAAACAACGGCTTTTTGAATATCTAACCGCTATGCAACAAAGCAATAAGAACCGTCTAGAAAAGCAGAACTCAATAAAGGAGGTCTGGCATGCATAATCGATGATGATGACCCCTTTTATCGTGGCGACTTGGGATCGTGGAAAATGTATATGCAGAAAACGATAAACTTGTGAGGGTAGTGCTAGTTAAAACAAGGAATGGGAAGCTTGGTTCGCGACTGATTTTAAGATGCGGAAATTGCCCATAAAAGATAATGAAAGATAGAAAAATTTAGATTAACAAAGTGATCAGAAAAAAATTCTAAAACAAATGTCACTCATCCAGCTCCTTCCTTGTTTTCTTCCCGAACCCATCCTTCCTGCATTTTTGATAACGATGCTTCGGGTTTTTACTCTTTTCCACCACAGAATCAGGGGCTGCATTCACCAACTCCATATGCCTGAGGACCATACGACGCTCTCAGTTCACCCTCGCCACTTTCATCCGAACCTCCACCTTCCCAGCAATCAGCCCCGACAGTTTCACCATGCCCGCCTCTTTTTGCTGCATCAAAATTTCATCTCCATCTAAATATTGTTAAGATTGATCAAAGATCAACGGGGTTGGCAAATTGTAAGCAAAAAAAAGCACCTTTCACATGATAAGATAATTTGTTCTCATGTCGACTCAATTAGAAACGCATAATAATTTTCCCACAATTTTTTCATTTCATTTAACCGCAATTGGTAACTAAAACATTAATAATTCAGTTTTCGTCGCTTTCCAGTTGTCGTTAAGTTTGCAAAGGTGATGACCGAAATGGATTTTTAAGAGTCGATGAATAAAATTCAGACTCCTATGTTGGTCGTGATGTTTTTTTCGGATATAGGTCGCGATGAGTTTTTTTGCAGGAAAAGTCCAAAAAAATTGTTCGAACTCATTTACTTTTAAGCGGTTTAATTTCTGATTTTAAGATCAGTTAATTACCTTTGTTCAAAAGAAGGCAAATTCTGATATCGAGTAGCAGAAGTGTAAAGTCCAGGAAATACGTGATCGACTGTAGTTTTGAAAATGGAATTCAGGTTTCAGATTTCCCAGCGAAATAAAAAGCTTATCTTTTAATCCAGTTTCTCAAAATGGGACAAATTTATGAATAAAAGTGTCAATTGTGCCAGAAAAAGTGTAAGCTGTTCTTGAAATTCAATGAGATTAAGGGGATCTAATTTCGAAAGTTGCAAATTTTTTTGAAAGTTTCATCTTTACTAGCGTTCATGACTCTTTTCCAACTGTATGTTCGCTATGTTTACAAAATTAGATCGAACGCTTTCTGTTTTTTTTTTTGGTAAAATTTTGGTGGTTTGACTTGGTTTTTTCAAGGTGTCATTCTTATTCAATAATCGTATGGCAAATAACGCTCTCCAAAAACAAAGCTTCAAATGGCGAAAAGAACGTTCCTGGCCTGTTAAATGAAAATCTAATTTGATTTTAAAATCTCTTAGTAGAAAAACTGACCCACTGAGCCAGTTTCTTAGCTAGGTCTGTGTTTTTTAAACTGACCACCATAAAAAATCCGAAGAGAGTTGAGGTACATTTTTTTGAATTTTGTTCATGTGAAATTTCTCATTTTCATTTAATCATGCATTTAAACGCTTGATTGCTGTTATATCGGAGTAGTTCGAGGTTTTCGATGAATTTAAAAATGTTAAAAGTTGATAGGAAGGGCGATCTTTGATCAAGCTAGTATTATATTTGATTTTACAGGTAAACGAGGGGCAACATGCTAAAACTGATCGGCTGGATATCCCAGTTTTGAACAAACGCCAACCTATCAGTTCGGCGCAAAACCCCAATAGAAGAAACTTTGTTTCAAACAACAATTCCAATGCCCCAAATAGAACAAAACACAACAGAGGCAGTGGCCCATTCAATACTGACCCAGAAATCCAAGTTGCAAATCCGAGAAACTTGGACAGAGCGAACTACCACCACAACAGTGACTCAAAGTCCTCAAACTACAACAGATTTACCAAGCACGCTCTTGAAAGTGCCTCGCTTCTAGGATCCTCAAACGAACACTCCCATCATCATCCTCATCACCACCACAACAATAACACCAGAAGATTTGAGAGCCGAAAGTCGAAGAATGAACGGGAGGTGGACTTCGCAACTGCACGTCAAGCCCCACAGCCAGTCACTGGAATTCGGAAGTGTAGCGAAGGATCCGATGACTTCCAAGCTGCAATCGAAGTTCCGCGGTCGCCGACTGGAAGCGATATTGACGAGAACTTGTGGCTGGACGTTGAGCCAGGGGCTGATTTCGAGTTCCACAATGATTTGGAATCTATGAAAATGGATTTTAACAACGAAATAGATGACCTAAACAACGAACAGATTCAAAATGAACTGCTTGCGGTGGGCGGTAGAGAAATTTCAAGGAAGGCTGCACCTGCCGCTGAACGACAACCGGTAATCAATTATGCGAATACAGGTGATGCGATAAAGCAGGGGGCGGAAAAAGATTTCGATTTGAATAAGTTTATGGAGAATGGTAGCTCTGTAACTGTGCCCAGAAGTACAACTACTCAAGGAAGCAGACTTCAGCGACTCTTCAACACTTCAGCTGACCAGAATCGTAATTTGGGAGCGGAGTATGACAGATACTTGCAAAGTTTTGAATTTGACCCTGAAACAAATGATTTGAGAAGATACATTCAGCCTATTGATCCTCCGACGCCACAAACGAACAATCATTTTCAGCCCAATGGAATGAATTTCAACGGAGATCTTAGTTATAAAACTCAGCAAGAGATTGATAAGCAGCAAAACCAACAGATGATTAACAATCAGCAACATCAACAGATGTTGAACAATCAGCAGCAGAAACAGCAACCTCAAACTGCACCAAGGTCTAGATTCGCTCACTGGTTTGTTTCGGACGTGAATCAAAACAACCTTCCTCCGAGCAGCAACCTGCTTCGAGACGATAATCAGAAAAACAACATGCAAGCGCCCCTGAATGTCAAAACCACCGAGGCAAAGGTTCAAGTGTTGTCGCTTGCGGACATTGAATCAGATGTAAGCCCAGTTCCTCACGGGGGTCAAAGTGCAGCGCTGTCAGCGAATATGCAAGCTAATTTGAGCAAGCCCAATGTCATTTCAGCCGATGCTCTTGAGCGAGATCTTTTAGCCCAATCGCCGCCTAAAAGCAAAGACAATGACTTGTCTGCGTTTACGTCTCTTTTGAATCAGTTAGGGGGTGGAAAGAATGTACCAGCTGGTGACATAAACGAGGGCACAAGCAATGAAATGGTCAATCGGCCAGTATATTCCCCGGGACCAGAAATTATTCAAGATCAAAAGAAAGGATCGGACCCACTCTACGCACGTAGAATAACTGGCCATAATGTCAACAATTATCAAAATATGCCAAGCAAACAGGTGGATCGAAATACTGGGAGACAGAATATGTTACCAGAAGTTGCGACGCTGAATCAGCAGGAAAGTAATCGATCAAGTCGAGAAGCGCATTTGAACGAATATGAGAAAGCTACTAGAGAGCACAGACAAATTCAACAGGCAAACAGCCGAAATCAAGTTAACATGAACGAGATGTACATCAATGAGACTAACAATTCCTTGCAACAGCAGACCTCGAACTTGCCTCCAAATTTGGAAGTGTTCAAACGGCAAATCGCGCTGCAGCAGCACATAAATCAACAACGACAGCAACAGCAGCAAAACCTACAGCAGCAAGAACTGTTGCGAAATGCAGTTCAACAAGGTTCAAGTGCTGTGGGTGGTCCGATTGGTAACAAGCAACGAGGGGGACCCTCGGACATTTTTACTCCAACTGCCGTAATGAGAAACTTGTCAATGGATAACCCCGCCTCTTCTGCTCAGACTGCAAGTACTTCTAATTCCTATGGGTTACAATCGAAGCATGCTGTAAATTTATCCAATTTCTTACAGGCTAACCAGGATCCGCGAGTGCGTGACATGATTTTCAAGATGAACCAAGAGACTTTCGCAAGATTGGGAATGCCTTTGTCGAACACTTCGAACACTACCCAAGCACTTCAAAGTGCACAACTGTCAACTTCGGTAGCACAGAATACCCGAAATGTGCCTAAATCGGTAAATCCGGCTGGAACCATAGGATCGAACAATGCACTGGGAAACACGAACCTGGCTGCCGCATCAGTGGCCTCTTCTCAGCCAGCATCGACTTCAGCTCAAATGGCTAATGTTCCCATTGTCGGTCCACCGATAGTTAGCCCTTGGTTGATAAATTCGATGATGCGCCCTGCTGCACAGCCACTTGTGGTTCCCCAAAACCCTTCGCCCCAGCTTGCGCAACAAGCGATTCAAAGTATTTTGGTCCGTCAGCAGATAGCGGCGGCTCTGATGCTGAACGGCAGGCCTCCGGTCCAGTTTCGACCCATGAATGCCCCGGCTCAAGTGAACCCTATTGGTTCTCAGAACTCGAATGCGGCAAATTTGAATTCCTCTAACAAGAACGGGAATCTTAATAACTTGTCAAACGGAGTAGCAACGAGTGCGAGTATGTTTCAGCAGATGAACCCAACAACCGAGCAGCTGCTGAACTCCCTGGGACTCGGATCCTCAGGAGGAGGTTTGAGCGCCCCAAATCAAAACCCGATGAATGGCCTGAACTTGAATCGCAATTTGCCCAGTCCGATGTTTGACCCGATTCCGGGTTCGAGGGTCAAGGACAATTCAAAATGATGCCATGAACATCGTCAGCTTTAAAAATCGGCTTAGCGCGCGACCGGCCATTTCCGGTTGTCATAATGTGATTACGCAATTAGCCTCCTGCTAACCTAAATCCCAGCATACGCAAAGCGATAGAGTGTTTAGATGTCAAAAGATGTTAATTTTGTACAAAATTGTGAACGTTTATTTTTCCGATTATTTGGTTATTTGCTGATATCATGGTTGTCTTGGCGTTCCCCCTTTCATCATTTATACTCCCGTTATTTATTCGCCATGGTTCTCTTGTTTTTTTTTCAAATGCCGTTTACTATGAACTGCTACCTCTAATAGTTGTAGTGCCTGTTGTTATTCCATTTATTCATTCACCCTATGTTACTTTACTTCATACGTTGTTTCATTAATTTAGTCATCATTTTTCGCCTTTTTCATTACATATTTTTCTTCTGCATGGCTAGGGTTTCTGCCAAGTTTGCGATCAGCCCGGTCCCCAAAATTTCGACAGGATGAAGTTTCGAACCTTCAATGTCGACAAGTGTAAAATAGTTTTGTAGATATTCGATGACTCGAGGCTGACGGCAGATTAGAACCCAGCGTAGTTGACTTGTGATTCCCTTATCAATTGGATAGAATTATTACGAGAACGTCTCTTCGACTATTTTCTCCGATTTTACGCAACTTGACAACATTCTCATCTGAAGCGGGATCCATTTTTGTGTCCTAGACAGATATTATCATGAGTTGTCTCCTGAGTGGGGATAATTTCTCACTGTGCATCGAGTTTAAAGTCGCCGTCGGAAGCATTTACCCGATTCTCTAAAACGCTGTCACGTCGTTTTTGACAAATTAGCGATTTTTGCGTTACTGATTTCTTGTTGCGAAAGAAACGCCCTCCTGATATTCCATCGACTGAGAAGACGCGAAAAAAAAACAAGGAGAAAACAGTATCAAAAATTGAACTCGTAACTCGAAATATATATTTTTTTGAAGTTGAAAAACTGAGCTTAACAATTTCAGTAATTGAACATTAGTTGCTGTATTGTTTTCATTTTATTTACCTTTTAAAAATGCTGCGGGTAAAGTTGATATTAATTTGAACGTTTGTTACTATGGATTCAATCAGTTTGTTTTTTTTTGTGTTTTTTGGTTCAATTTGACATATTTACCCGCTCTCATTTTTCCTTGTGTGTTTGTAGCACACCTATTATTATGTTTGATGATGTGATTTGTGATTATTACTTATGTTTCTTCAAAAATGGTGCTATCTTCATATATCTTTCCTCTCATTTCGTCTCATCGTCTGACCTTTCGTTAGCTCTCTAAACCAACTGTAACAGCTCAGTAAAAAATACTCACTTCGCCAAGAACACAAGTAACTGCAGTTTCCATTAGATTTATCACTTTGGGCCCCTTTTCCTATCCCTCCTCGTCCCCTCCCCTTCCATTGAAAACACCTATAATTTTCGTTTAAAGGTAGGAAAATTTTGCATTACTGGCAGATTTGAATGGGTCAGGAGTGATAAAGAAAAACTGTCTAATTTTTTCATCATTGCACTCAAGTCATTTATAATTAATGCTAACTATAGTTTACATGTCTTGTTTAGCTTCCGTCACTTCCGTACTAATTTAATTAGCTAATCATAATTTGAAGTAACAATAATAGTTTCACACTAAAACGCATTGCGCTGTCCCCTTCATTAGCAAGAGCAATCAGGTATTCCGTGACTTAAATTCGATGCTACCAATGCTTATTTTTGAATGTAAAATGATAACTGCTATCGATTATCCCAAAAGAACAAGTTGCTAAAAAGTGTACTCGGCAATTAATTTGTACCAGGTCCTATGCATCAGTGACCATCCTAAAGGTGTGCAATTGCAAATCCAGACGAAGTTCCCACCTTTTTTGGTGCAGTTTGAAGATTACAAAGCGCACATTGTAGCGTTCATCTTGAGATGAGGTAATAATTTTGATTATGTGCTGTGCTCGTCTTTACAAAAATACCCTGAAATGTCAAATTACGGTTTATTTTTCTATCCCATTTTGTAAATAGTCCTAAAGCACAAATCCCAAGTGCTGATAATTCAGAAACGACCCCAGTTGAAGCTCTTGAACCATACAGTGCTTGTCCATATTCAGTTTAAGTAATCGCCCAACTCGAATGTTTTCCTAAAAAGCGTGAACCTTAAGCGCTTGGATTTCTTGAAGCGTAATGCGAACTCCCTAAATAGTTCCGAAACTCACCAATAAATTATTTAATACCAGGTGATAATACCATCATTAATATAGTAAATCGTTCCTTGGTCAATATTGGTAATCCAGAGATGCTTCATTTTCACTTCTGTGTTATAAAACCTCTGGTGATGAGATCAAAATTAAGAGATGTGTGATGCGGCTTCACTTGAACTTTTGTGATAATTTCAAACATCGGTGCTACTTAATTATCACTGAGTGTGTTGACTAAATCAACTAACTTTTTAACGAAACATGTTAGGACTAACTAGTAAAGAAAGAGTGTGAAAGGTAAATTTTTCCTTGAAGTTTGCGTCCGGCAGTCGCTGCGGCAATCAGTCGATCTCACCGAAAAAAAACTTGGCTCAAATTATTCGTTTTGTTATTACTGCTATACTTAACTATAAAACTATTATGATATAGAATTTAAAAGAAAGTCATTGGCCTTACGTTTGAAATGGAGCTTATTTTGACCGAATCTAGAAAGACTGTATTTGTTCTATAATAGTCTATACTGTCATAGTTTTGTCATCATGTGTTACTAAATCTTACAAAATCAAAAACGAAGCAATGTAGATAACAAAAGAGCGTTTAGGTTTCAAACCATTGCTTCGTTTTGATAAAGTCTCGAAAAATTATTATGTCGTTGCTGAAATATATGGAAATGCGCAGTGATCTTATAACAACGATTCGAACTTCAACAACTCTACTAGACTGTAAGCAATGTTTGTTTTTGTTTGTTTATTTGTTATTGTTAGAACTGATAATGGATAGTAATAATTAAACAATCAATGCCAAACAAACCAAAAATTGAATTTGATTATTCGATCTAGCCTATTTTGTGAGCTGCAATCGCCTTCTTATAGTTAAAGAATTCTCAAGTGAAACTAAATTAGCCGGCTGCTGTGCAAGTAGCGCAAATGATAAACAAAAAAGTTTTTTTTTACCAAAGGGCCATTGAAATAGTATTGAAAAATTACAGAGATGAAATGCAATAGTTGCTAAAGCATTGTATAAGTTGCAGAAGAGTTAAATTGAGAGTTGTCCCTCAGTGTGTGATTTATAAATTTTGTGCCATTACGAAACGAAAAAACGAAAAAATCAATGCCAATTTTTCTCGACAGACAAATTTTAGATTTTTCAAGGAATCGGAGTTAAGACCAATATCGCTTTTTTATGATAAGGCACATGACCCCCTAGCTTTCCTTAAGGTGCCTGAAACTAGTACAAAAAAATCAACTTTGCCTTTTTTCTCCCTGTTAACTTTAATTGACGTAGTCAGAATAAAAAATTCTTCAACAAAAGGTCAGTTGAGCTCAATATGAATGGTTTTTCCAAGTATTTTCTGACAGAACACAGTCTATATAAGCATAAGCAAAAGCTATAGATTCCAAATTCTTTTTATATTTTCCATTTAACATGAACCTGGCACTTATAATGAAAAAATAACTATGAACTCTGGAGTTATACAGGAGTTTAAGAAGGCCGGCTGCAAAGAAATTTTAGGTGAAGCTTAAAGGTTTCGATAACGCTTAATTGTTTCGATAAGCAGACGATTCATTAATAGATTTAATAATACAGCGTCGGAAAAAGGTTCAATTTCTTATATCTTATAAGGTTCAAAATCAACCTTATATGGTGCGTCTTTGTGATGCATGGTTGAGCGCAGAACAAAGGGCCGTAATACAATATTCTTCTTCACCTTCCATTTGGCCAGCCTACTTCAAGATAAGTTTTCTCAATTTGGGCTAGTTACTACGCAGGCAAAGGTGCATCAAATCTTGAATGTAAAACAAGGATAGACGGCAGTTGTGCAAGTAGCCACTGGTTGTTCCAACTTGATTTGACTTGACAGAAATTAAAGTTAAAGAAAATTGTTTGAAAAGGATAAAAATCAAAATTTTCCTTAAATGGAGAAAAGTATATTGAAATAGTTGAACAAATGCACGAATTGCTAATAAATAATTTGAAAAAAAGTAAATTTCTCGTTTAAGTTAGTGTGAAGATCAGTTTCCAATTCCTGTAGACATTACCTGATTTGAAAAAAAAAAGAAAAATGCAGACCAGTTTTTCTCAAAACAGATTTTTTTTGAAATGCCACTCACGAACAAAAGAGTATGCTACCACACATAATCCCTTTCTCGGGTGACCTTAATAATATGAAGTTCTTCGTTCCAATCTTCGAGAAAAACCTTCGAGAACACTTTTTGTTTTCTTGCGAACGATAATTCAAAGTTAACTATTTTCTGAGAGAGTATCGGGTTAAAGATTTTTTTTCGAATATTTGCTTCTGGAGAAGGTTAGGTAATAAATTTTTCCCAGGCTGCTTCACAATTTCTAAAATTTCCCTGATAACTACTTGAGCGTCTGACAATATAACTCAAACGTAATCCAGCTTTTCAAAAAAAAGTAAGAAAAATGCCATTAAAATGTTTATAGGAACTAAAACTAAAGATATTGACTCATGAAAAAATTCTTGTCACAATTCGAAAATTTATGCTTGCTTTTAGCGAGCGTTAAAAAATTAGAACAAAGACTCTGTTCGGGTTAACTTGATAATTAAATTCTTGGAATCGCTTGAGACCTCAGTTCAAATAAAATTGAGGCGTTAACCCTCACATAGGGCCTAGAGGTAACAAAAATGCCTTTTAAGACAACATTTTTTTGTCGGATTCTTGTCTGTCTGCTTACTTCTTGTCATCTACATTGTCACAGTCTTGGTTTTACTTATGATTTTAGCAATTTTACAATTGGAAACATTATAAATAAACATTTCAAGGTGTTATTCAAATCAGTGCGGTCAAAGAATTTTTGCTGGGTTTTTGTAAGAAGACTTTACAGATTTTTATTCAGAAGAAAGCATTGAACAGTTCCTTCTCTTAAAATTCTTGATTTTCATCGAAACAACATTTTTTCATTGCAATAATTTGAAACTAAAGCAAGTACTAGAGAGTGAAAAATGTTCCAATTTTTTCCTAATCTGTTTATTCATCCGACTAATTTAAATTCGTCAAGTCAGCTTTTGTGATTTTGGAGCGTTTGAGATGAAATTTAACCTAGTTTTGTTAGATTTTAAATTGTTCAGAATGACGTTTTTTGTACTAATGTTTTATCGCTCTAATTCTTTTAACGATCCGCTACACCTCTTTGTTTAATAAGTCTTTGCTAATCAAATTAATGCACTATCTTGTTCAAGAGTTGTGAAAAAAAGTTCATTTATTTAAAACAAATGGAATGAAAATTCCGTAATCTCAAAAAAGAGTTACAGGGTGTTTTAGCTTCACTCAAGGCTCAAAGTAAAGTTAACCCATTGTCGGTAACAATTGATAATTTGGAAAAAATGCTTCATTTATTGAATGGCTGACACTTGAAAGTCATGCTCAAAATCAAGCATTACAACACTGGTGTGATATCGTGCTTTTTCGTTCATAACAAATGGTATAAACGCAAAAAAAATTCACCATGTACTTCGTTTCATAAACTTTTACTCAGCTATCTATCACTTGTCAAATATCATTGTTCTCAGAGTCTAAAACACTTACTTGCAAACTTGCCAAAACCCATATACCAAGCATGTCAAACAGCAAACTAATCAGAGTTAAAGACACATTTCACAAAATATAGTTCGGCCTCGTATAGGTTTTTTGGAAGCTTTTCTTATAAAAGAATGATGCTTTTTCTAGGTGGTCCCTGATAATTACTTGAATGTCTGACAGAATATAACTTAACAGTTCTTCTTTCAAATCATGAACTCGGTACTACGAATGAACAAATAACACAATGAAATCAGGAGTTATACAGGAGTTTAAGAAGGCCGGCTGCAAAGAAGTTTTCAGATGAATCTTAAAAGTTTCGTAAACTTTTTATTGTTTCGATAAGCAGACGATTTAATAATAGATTTACTAATACAGGTCAAAAAAGTTGCGTCATAAAAAGTTTCAATATCTTATAAATGAACCTAATATGATCCGTTTTTGGTATGCATGGTTTAGCGCAGAATAAAGGGTCATAATTTAGGATTCTCCTCCTTCCATTTGGTAAGCCTATTTCATGAGTTTTCTAAAATAGGGCTGGTTACTACGCAGAAACGTGCAACAGATCTTTAATGTAAACCAAGCATAGCCGGCAGTTGTGCAAGTAGCACTGATTTTCCATTTTGATATTCAGAAATTAATAATCTTGTACCAATTAAGAAAGCAAAATCTTGTACCACAAAAATGAGGATACGTGGGTTGGTGGTATTGTCAACCGAGGTTTGATTTAGTCATTGCGAGGCTTAATTGAGCACAGCATAAGCGCACAATTTGGAGTGTGTAGAACTCTGGAATGCAGAGACAATTCTTTAAGTATGTTTTAATTTTGTCGGATCAATCAATAGAAACGAAAGAACAAAGGAATTTTAAAGAGGTTGCTTTGGCTGCGGAATCCACTCACAATCCACAAAATAGATAGTTTGGCCTCATAATGGTGTTTGTGGAACTTTTTATTTGTAATTGCGAAGAATGGGGTAAGAGAGTGGATGTTTTCAAATCATGATGCTATTCTTAGCTGGTCTCTGATAATTACTGAGCGTCTGCCAGAGTTTAACTTAAAAGTAATCCAGCTTTTCAAAAAAGTAAGAAAATTGCCAATAAAACTTGTGTATAGGAACTAAAACTCAAAAAGTTGACTCATCAAAAAAATCTTGTCTTCATATGAAAATTTTTTGCTTGCATTTAGGGAGCGTTAATACATTAAAATAAAGAAATTTTTTTAGGTTAACTTAATAAAAAAATCTTGGAATCACTTGCGACCTCATTTCAAATGCAATCGAGGCGACAACCCTCACATAGGGCGTAGAGGTAAAAAAAATGCCTTTTTTTGTTTGATTCCGGTCAGGATTTGTTTGTTTTTAAACAAGAAATTTAAACTCTTGCCAAAAAGTTGTCGGGTTCTTGTCTTTTTGCTCATTTCTTGTCATGTACTTTGCCACAGCCTTGGTTATACTTATGATTTTAGCGTTTTTATAATTAAAAAATATGGAAGTAAACATTTCTAGGTGTTATTCAAACTAGTGTGGTCAAAGAACTTTTGCTTTTTTTGAGAAGAAATATCAGATTTTTATTCAGAAGAAAACCATTAGCAGTGCATTCTCTTAATATTTTTGATTCTCATAGAAACAAATTATTTTAACTGCAATAGTTTTAATTTTGTTCAAGTTTTTTTTAATCAATATTCCAATTTTTCCCTAATCAGTTTTTTCTTCCGTCTAGTTTGAGTTCGCCAAATGAGCTTTTATGATTTTAGAGCAATAGAGATGAAATTCGAACTAGTTTTGTTACATTTTGAATTGTTCTGAAAATTATGAAAAATGTAGTTTTTTACTAATGTCTTAACGCTCTTATTCTTGTATGGCTCCGCTTCACCTCTTTGTTTCTTAAGTTTTTTGCTAATCAAATGAATGCATGAAAAGCACGACAATTAAAGCCGAAGTCAAAAAATTTCAACACTCAAACAGCAAACCAGTTTGGCACAAAAAAGTGGCCAACAAAAATTATCATTTGAACAAAATGTTTTGGGATATAACTGACACGATTGAAATAAGAAAATCTGATTTGAAACACTTATTTCAAGGTAATGTTTATTGTTATTGGTGTATCGATACTCTAAAAAGAGACATTTCTAAAAATTTTTATTCTTTTTTTTACGTAAATATATATTGAACTTAAACTATTTA